ACATCTGGATCCAAAAACATTTTGTAAACCACTGGTAGGCTGTTTGACCTATTCAGCTACACCTAAATGGATGATATTTTCAAGTTTATAAAATATTTTTCTCCTATCTAAAAATTTAGAATAACATCACAAATTTTTTCTTGTAACAAAAATAAACCCTCAACCTTTTTCATCCGGGCTTGGGACCGGCATAGGCGGTTTTAAAAATGTTTTTTTTTAATGTTATCTCAAGCATTATATCACAAAATAAATATATCAACACAAATTTTAATAAACATAAGGTAAACACAAAAATATAAAATATATCTATAAAATTAAAAATCTTCAAAAAATAAATTTAGAACTTCATATAAATAATGCATGGAAAGTAGATAATTGTTATCTCTCTTCTCAAGTTCTATGAATAATAAGAACATGGAGGTAGATTTTAAAGGGCATTGAGGGACTTGATCTTATTTAATACATGTTCGTTTCCTTTGAAGAAAGAAAGTCTCTAAACTTTGTTGAATCTTTGATTGCTATTGTCTGAAGCAAGCAGTAATGTCTTTCATGCAAAACTAATTGCAGCTACCACAACCATTTATAAAATTTCATCTCTTAGACAAGTAAAACTTTTAATAAATATATTTAAGAGTAAAATACACAAATGTCATGAAAAATTAGCACTTAATGCAAAGCTCTAGTAGGAATGAATGGAGCCCCAATCATAAAGCCAACACCATTAGATGAGATAAGGATAATGAAAACAATGATGAGCCATAGCAATCAGATAGTGCAGTTGGAGTAAGAAATGCAAGAAGAAGAAACAATAATAACAATAACTAAGTTATATTTTAAAAAGTTTAGTATTAACTCAAATTTCAAGTTTGGGACAAAAATAATTGGTTGAAAATCAGAGCTTGTAATCTTACAAAGAAATAAATTATGGCACATGATTAAAGTTGTAATATTTTCAAAAAAAGCAACTAATTAAAAGCAACTAATTAAAAAGAAATGATAGTTGGAGTTGAAAGAAATGTTGAACGAAAAATAAACAAGCCATATCAAGTATCAGTACGAAATATATATAGCAAATATGAATATTTTTTTTAAACTTCCTCAATTTTGATTTTTTTATGTTGAAGTTCGCCAACTTCATTTGAATCCATCTTTATAGACTGAACTGTTAGTGAACGGAATGTTCGGCTCCCATAAATTTTATCTTGAGCCTTTACTAAGAATGTCATCTCCTTCTCAAGAATATTTTTGATGATGTTATTATAATCTTCTATCTTCGATGCCTACAAAAATTTTTTTTTTAAGATAATGCATATATAAAATTGAATATAATTAGAATAATATACAAAATATATATTTACCTTGATTTTTTCTAATTCTATAACTGGCATACCAATTAATTGTTCTGCTTCATTATCAAATAACGTAAATATTGCTGTTGAACTATTATCTTCAACAGACAGTTTGATAAGATACCTGTACAAATCACGAAGAAATATATTAACCAAAGTTATATAATAAAATTTAAATATGATAACATCATATAAATATTTTACCTCAAACTACATTGGACATTTTCGTTGGTACATTTAGTACATTGTACAATACCATCAATAATAGTAACTTTCGATTTGCAAGTATTACAAGAATTGTACCATATACTTCCTTCCTGATTTAATCCTTTTGCAAAAACTCTTGTGTAATAGTGTTTTATCTGAAAGGTAATAAAAAATTTAAAAATAAATCATGATAAGAAATTACTAAATTAAATAATTACCTCTCCTGTTGAATGTTCGGATGTATTGATCTTTTGTAAACTTGTCATCAAATATGTATTAGAAGAAGATGACGTATATTGATGAATATTTTCTTTAGACCTGTAGAATTAAATTATAAATAATTAAATAAAATACAAAGAAAATGAATAAATAATAATTAAACATAAATTAAAATATACCAATTTAGGATCTCTTTTGATGCTGGTAAATTTGGATTAATTTCAATGGTCGTTGAGTTTGTTGTTGAGAGTATGAAACCTGATATTATGAAATGCAATTGAAATCAACATAATGTAATATAAAGGTATTTCTTTGCCTCTGAATTACTTTTATTAATACGAAAAAACTCGGTCAACATTGATTTTTTTCTAGCATTGCTTTTTAGGATATCAACCAAATTTTGATTGTCTTTATAATAAACTGATTGCTGATCTTCTAAATGTAGTTGTAAATTACACACTGATGGATACATCTCATTTAAGTCAAATTCAAATATTCTCCATAATGCTTCTGGTGCTGATACCCATCTGCCATCTTGATATTGTTGAATCTCATCAAAAGGTTGTTCTCCATTTTTTTGTGAAATTGATACTGAAATCTTATCATGCCCCTTGTAAATATATTTATAAATATATTTTACTGCTTTAATACCAGAACATATCTCAACATTTATATGACAATTATATCTAGATAATAAATATGGATTATAAGGAATAACCCAACGATTATCCAAATATTTATTTCTGACTTTTACTTGTTGACCATCATTTCTTCTCCGATAAATTGGATATGAGTCATCTCCAACTATAGTTTGGCTTGAGAAAGATCTGGGATATTTATTCTTGCATAATCCTTTTTTCATACAAGCATTATTTTTGTTTAAGTTTCCACATGGACCATGCATCATATGCTTAACAACCAATTCGTGTAGCCTCTTATATTTTGAAGGATCAGGTAATTCTGCAGATACAATTCTATCAAACTGTACTGGAACTGTTATCTTAAATGCAGTCTTCAAGATAATTAAGAAATGAGCATGTGGAAGCCCTCTTTTCTGAAATTCTATAACATATACATGAGCAGCTACACCTCCAAAAATTGATTTCTTGAATAACTGATCCTTTAAATCTTGTAATTTAGACCTAAATATACGCGTTGTTAGGTCAGGTCGATCCTGTGCCATTTGACCAGGCTTTAACTCATTTTGAATTTCTTTCCAATCAGGATTACATGTCATTGTTATGAATAAGTCTGGTTTTCCAAAGCGTTGACATAGAGCCATTGCATCTAAATATCTTCGCCTCATATCACGAGGTCCGCCAATGAATGATGGTGGAAGTATAACTTTTTGTCCAGTATTATTAGTTAGTGTTTCTCCAGCTGCTACACTATCAATAATCCCTTTATATAAATCAGATCGTATTGTCTGTTGATTTTGCCGGAAAAAATCTAGTCGGCTTGTTTCAATCTTCACATACATATCAACAACATATTGATGAAGTAATCGTCCAGCATACAAAATAACTGATTTATCATTCTCTCGAATTTGAAGTTTGTAACTATAATATTCTCTACATGAAACTCTTTTTTTTGATGACTTCTTAAGGCCTGCAAATTTTAAAAATTAAAAAACATTAATTGATATTTAAATAATTCTATCTATATTATATATTAAAATAATACACTTAATAACATACCATTTTCTTCTTGGTTAAATAGCTCTTCCTCTATTAAGGACGACCTTGTAGTTTGAACTGGAGTTTGTTCATTTATTCTTTCAAACTTAGAAGTTCGATCTATGTTTTGATGCCATCCAACCTCTCCATTTGGAAATAGAATAGGATATTGTAAAGGGTCGTAACATCCAAAATAATGCTTGATCTTTCGATATGTTCCTGAATGTGAAGTTAATATGATATCACGTTCAATGAAATCTGTGCTCTTGCCCTCAATCCATATTGCTGCTACTTGTGACATAGTTGGAGCATTATAAACTCTTTGATCTACTCTTACATCAGATCTAATATGTATTTGAAGATTTTCCAATATACCTCTATTACTTAAAGATCTGAAGAATTGAGCGTACGGATTTCCAGAAAGTATGTCCATTAATTTCTTTACTAATCCCTCTGAAAGATTTAAATCTTCAAGAACATTCAATCGATTCTTTGTTTCAGCATCAGTATCATAAATATATAATTGGAAGTAGCATGGACCATTTGAGCTTTTTGTAATTGGAGGTAAACTATGATAGATTTGTCCTTGTGCTCTAAATGTATAAATCCCTTTTCTTGCATTTGCTAAATTGTTATCTATATGAGCTCCGAAGGATGTGAATGCGAATATACTGTTATATGCTCTAATCTTACTTCTGAATTCATTCGAATTAGATGAACAAGAATTAAATAATTCATAAAGTTCTTCATTAACTTTTGTCGGAGCAAGCTGAACTTCACCATTATAACAACAAAAGGTTGGTGGCTCGAATTGAAATATCTTTGCATTACAGTAAATGCATGAACGTGGGTGTTCGAGAAAATATAATTCTGACATACTTGATTCATAATCTATAATAACATCGTTCATATTTGATACTTCAATATCTGTGTGTTCAAAGATAAAATATATTAAACATTCAGAACTATGAAATCGATATAAGATAATTATTGAAGTTTGGTAAAAATGAACCTGTAGAATTTGACGATGATGGTAAACAAGCAATTTCTAAATTAGAAAATTGCTTTCTCTTTTTTTTAGCTAAATTGTTAGCTTGAATTTTTGTCCGTTTTTTGTCAGCAGATAGTTTAGCATATCTTTGCTTGTCATAATCTTTTTTTCTTTGATCTTCCATAAAAATATATATCTAAAAAATGTGTCAACAATATTAATAGATATCCATAATTGTAAAAAAAATATATAAATAAAATGAAAATGACTCATCAACATTCGTTGGAATGGGACAACTTCATAGTTGTCAAATTTAGAAAATTAAAAAAAAAAAATCAATCGATTATTATAAGCCTAACAATAAGAGGAGTTCATGTAGATAGGACTAAGTATTCACAGTAAAATAATATAAAGCAAAACAAACAATAATCAGATTTAAAAGTCAAACCTAAATAAGATTTAACATAAATTATACTATCAACCATTTTGAGTTTTTAATAAATGAAGAAAAAAATTATAATGTGAAATAAACCAACATTCAAGAAAATAAAGAAAATAACCTTCTCAATTTGATGACAAACCACTAATAAATAAGTGTGTAATAAGAACATGATATAAGAATAGATAACATGGTGCAAAAAATATATTATGTCAACTAAGAAAGTAAGATTGCAGGTTATGCATGGCGCACCATACACATATTATATTATGATACATCCTCCAATTCCCAGAAGGTGCAAAGATATTCCAACCTTAGTATGGATATTCATAGCATGAAACAAGAATGTATCACTAATAAAAGATCAAAGCAAGCTGAATGTGAAGTTAATATGATCAACAAATAACTTTCCATAGTGTTGGATGAAATTATAATATTAAACTAAACTTATTTATTTCATTATAATGCTCCAAATAAGATGCAGTTTTTGTTACTTCAATTGTAGTTGTTTATTTAAAATTTCTCAAACTAAAATTATTAACTTGGTTGCTAGTCATATATTTTGGTGCATAACTCTAAAATTCATTCAAGCGACTCGTTTTGGTATACACAGGAAAATAATATAATTGATTGGACTAACTTTAGATCCACATTCATAATTATATAAATCCTTAAATTTTTAAAATAATAAACAAATAATTGATCTGAGTTTAATTAAATTTAACAATTATTAATCCAAATAAATTTTAGAATATAGTCACACAAAACTTATTAAAATTTATTGCAATTCTACTTTGATCCAAACAATTTATTACCTGATTGAGAATATAATTTTTCAAAGCCAACGAATTGAAAACAGATAGTTTGCAATATATATAATGGTTACTTTCCACTACAAACTTGACATCCTAGGCTTCCTTATGTCTAATGTCCCACAATTTCATTTCCGGCATTTGCCACGCTTTGTAATTTCATTTCCCGCTACCACATCTTGTTGTTGTGTAATGAAAAAGAAAAACTTCCCCAACGCATATGCATTCATATCGCTATCCGTTACTTCACCAATTGTCCTTTCTACGACAACCATACCCAAGCGTTTCAGTTTAGCTTGCCGCACGAACCATTCGCCGGTTCGCCTAGCCGAATGGATTCCCATTTAAAGGCCAACTCCTAGCCCAACGGAAATTGCATCATGACACGAGTTTGTAGTTCCTATTGCTTCTGTTCTGTTAGAGTAAGAATTTTCTGCCATACATTTTTTTACTTGATAACTGGGAGTGGCATTTAGTTGACTTCTGGATACCATTCGAGAGTGTCTAAAAGAAGGTTTCTTTATTTGTTACTTTCATAGATGCTCTATTTGGTATAGAGTTGAACTGGACGCTCTGTTGTAAGTTCAAAATTTTCTTGCAAGACATAAGCCAAGATATTTCCCTTTTATCTGAAACATCTGAGTGTGTCTTAGCATTCTAAAGATGATGAACTTTTAGGTGGTTCTAATGATAACACTTTAGAAAACCAATTATATGTCCAACTCTTATAGCTATGCACTATTCTATGTGCTTCTCAGTCATATGTTGTGAATATACGGGAAAGATGGATGATCCGGAATTTGGTTGCCTTCTTTCGTTTCATATCTGAGATCCAACTTTATATGAAGGGATGGTTTCTTTGATGCAGATAAACTGGGAAAATCAGTTAAGATGATTTTTTTTTGTCTTGTTTTTTTGGTTTTCATGAAGGAATCTGCAAGGGTTTTTGGTTGAGATAAGATTGGTTTTAATCTGTGTATTTAAGGACTTAAACTTTACATTTTACTTCTAATCTAAGTCTTTGATTTAATATGTTCCAAAATAAAAATATTGCTTTCAGATTTGATTATTGCTTTGATTTTATCTACCTATTAATGTTCAACTTCTAATCATATTTTTTTATAGAGAATAGTGAAATAAAATTCAGTCTCATAATCTCCAATTTTTTTCTCTTATCTTCTCAATCTAATTTTCAAGATGGTATCAGGCATTTAGGTTCCACCGCCTATAAGGTTGGAAGGTCCTTTAATATGGAGTATCTCCTTAATGTTGATGGGTTATTCACAAACATTGAAAGCCAGTTGTCATCCGATAAGAGTGGGAAAAAAATACGTGAATGGTCTTTTTAAAACCATTTAAACATTGAAAGCAAATGGGTACTGATTTTCATGTTTGATGCAGACTCCTAGAGTTACTGAAGTTCTCATCCACATCTTTCCTTTCTCAACTTCTTCTTGTGATATCATATCTTGGGTGGATATCTCTTCAAAACTTCAGTAAAGTGTAGGACCAAATATCCCAAAACAAAGTTCAATGGAATACAGAGTTTCACCACAAAAGGAACTTGGCCTTCTACAAATGAACTTGCCTCAAATAGGTGACGCGATCTAAGAACTCATTCATTGAACGGATAATACATAATGAATAGTGTGATGGGATGATCACCGCTACAAGTGGTTGCTACCACCTTCAATTTGCCTATTGTTGTCTATGACTCCATTGTGAGTCTCAATTGTCTAGCTCATCGAGGTTACGCTATTGTATGACATCATTTTTGTATGATGTCTATAGGATTCATCAAGACTCTTACCTATTGATTGGTGAGTTTTTCTCCCGATATCAGTCATCTAGACTTCAATTTATGATTCAATCCAGACTTCAAATCAAACCTAGGATTTAAATCAACCCAGAATTCAAATTAACCAGATCTTAAATCAAACCACATTTCAATTAATTTTCCAAACCATATTCCAGCTCAATATCAATCTAGGCTCCAATCAATCGAAACTCCAGGTCAATATCAATCCAGAACTTAATCAATCAAATTCAAACCTATCCAGACTTCAAATCTATATAGCCTTCAAATCAATCCTGACCTCAAATCAATCCAGGATTTAATCAATCAAACTTTAATTAATCCAGTCTTGGATCCAGTATCCAATTTAACTTCAATCGTATCCAATCATTAATAACCACTTAATAGATTGAATCAAGCATACAAATAGGAAATTTAACTAAAAGAACAATAAACTACGGGCAGGCCAATGTAATT